GTGAAATAGTTATATGCACAACATGCCGAAAAATAATCATTTTGCCGTGTAGTTGGTAGTATTGGACAACTCATCAACAGTACATCCAGTTGAGGTCAATTTTTTTCCGATCATAGAGGATCATGATATCTACTGACAGTAAAAGTTTCAAGTCAATTACATGTATCCTTGATAAGATATAAATATCACAAAAAAAATGCGCTTTTTGATTGATAGTGCCCTCAGAAAAATTGAAATATCTCAACAATGGAACAATATTTTTTTAAACAGCTTGCGTCAAAATTCTCAGAACTCTTGTCTCTACAACATATATTGAATTGAATAAAATCGGACGACCTCGATTGAGCAAGTTCTGTGGCAGTCGGTCGCGGCTTATATAGATTGGCTCATATATTTTATGTATTGTCACTTTTCAAACGATAATACTATTTTTCTAGTCCATGTTGGTGCTTCAGCATCTAGTACTAATGTTATGATCGATGATCGAATTGAAGGAACACAAAATAAATTTCATCGGTATGCACGTTTAGGTACTACTGGTAAATATTATTGTGGTGGTGAATTAGATGGTTCTCAATGTCAGTGTTGCAATGATCGATGTGGACCATCAAATGGTTGTAATTTGTTCAGGATGTATGTTGCTTGATGTTCAAAAACGTCAATTACCACATGGATGGCTAGTTAATCGTGAGGGAGCATCTGCCAGACGTAGTCGAGTAGATCCGACAAAATTTTATTGTGGTCGAATAATAATGACACGCGAAAAACAAATTCATGGATATTGTGGACCTACTAATGGAGAACAGTGTATCGCATGTCAAAAACTGAGTGAACAGCAATCTAGAAGATATGGAGAGATTTAAATACATCAATTGCTTTGAAAGACAACAAAATTTTTAATTCAATTTATTAATTTAGAAACAACAAGAAAACTTTTTCACGAAATACTTGTCTTGAAAGTTTTACGAAGTAATGTATGAAAATTATGATGTAGTTTCTGAAAGATAGCCTAAGATCTGGTCTTTTATAAACGGAATTATTTTTTTATTTAGTACGTCGATTTTTTCAACAATGCCCCTCATTTTCTACTTGGACAGTATATTGTTTTTTAGAAAAATCGAAAAATATACTTCACTTTTTCTCTGTTTAGGATAGATCTACAAAATCGAAAGTTGCCCGATCTAACTTTCTTGAGATCCCATAATGTTTTAGCGCTTTTAGTCCATATAATCTGTTTGGATCTTTTATTACTAACATTCAGTGACAACGTCAAGCATCACTTTACATTCATTATCATTATCTCGAAAGTCACCTTCATTCTCAGCCACACACAAATTAAAAAGACAAGAAGGACTAAACAAACTAATAGGACTAAAGTTGCTAAAGGGGCTTAGGAAAGCATAGAAAGTACGGGGTCTCAAGAAAGTTAAACTGAAAACTTTTGATTTCTTGTAGACCGATGCTTTCTAGGTATTTTCGATCATGCGTGTCAGAATCCTTGAAGAAGCTTCATAATTGCCAATACCGTATTTTTTCGTTTGAAAGATCATGTCGGGATGCTGGTCATGATAGAGTTCCTATTTTTGTAATTGAGTTTAGCTACTATTACATAGAAGAGTACTTTTAGAGCGCCATTATTTTTGAGTTTTCTTAGACATAAACTGACCGCTGAAACAAAAAGAACCAAGTGTATACAACGAAAGCTCACAGAGAATTTTAAGTTGCCAAATGAGCTAGTTCTGGTCCTGGTTTGTTGAATACTACACGAAAACATCATGATACAGGGCTAAACATTTCAGCCTAATCCCTTCCTTACAGCTCCAACAGGTGACAAGCATTTCATGGAATTTAAATATAGCTGGTCCAAGATCGATTTTTTTTGAGTGGTGGATGAGTTTTAAATAATTGCAATATGAATATGAGTAATGTGTTCCGTTCGTTATTGAAAATGTAATCAATTATGCTTAATCTATTTGTTAAGATGTTCAAAAAAAAGAAGTTCATTTACAATATAAAGCAAAAAACTTGAGGGAGTAGACAGATTATAATGGTTATCAAACATTAGTCATTTGATCTTTATTTATCACTTGATGCTTCTTTATCGTATGTAACAATTACATTCGAATCATCATCAAGTTGATGAAGACATGTTTCATATTGATATTTTTGTTGATTGGTCAACAAAATGTTTATCAATAGTTTTAATCGATTTTGGTTGTAATATTATTGATGAATATTTTAGTGAAATAAAATCAAATAAAATTATAGAGTTTAGTTACCAAAAACCGATATTATTAATGTATTGATCTCAAAAATATTTATTTTGATGTGTTATAAAGACAAGTAAATAAAACGTGTCCATCTCAAATTTAACAGTAGACTGAGATAGATATGATATCATGTGTAAATTATTGAAGACTTGATAAAACTGATTCTGATCGTTGATGACAGAAGTCTTCGGGTAACATTGTAGGAAGTAGTAAAAATTCAGCTAAACAGGACGTCTGAATGATGTGTACTAAAAAATAACCGTTAAAAATTTTTTTTGTTTGATATAAGATGAAGAATTTTAGCTGTAGGAAACCATTATTAACTGAAACGAATTGTAATCGTTTTATATTATGTATTAATCTAACATCATTTATACGTCGATAAGTCTTATTTATTAGAAAGCTGTTAGCGTAATCCTGTTGAAGTAAAATGTAAAACAAGATGAAGTCGTTGTTGTAAATCAGTGGAATACTGTTTTATTCTATCTATTTTTGAACACATTCC